CTTTCGCTGTCTCTCTGTGTCAAGTAAATAAATAAAATCTTTAAAAAAAATAAGTCATGGGGATGTAATTACTGCACGGCAACTACAGTTAATAACGTATATTTGAAAGTTGTTAAGAGGGTAGATCTTAAAAGTTCTCATCATGGGGCACCTGGGTGGCTCAGGTAGTTAAGCGTCTCTTGGTTTTGGCCCAGGTCATGATCTCAGGGTCTTGAGACTGAGCTCCTTGTAGGGCTCTGCACTCAGCTCAGCTCAGCTCAGCTCAGCTCAGCTCGGAGTCTGCTTGAAATTCTCTCCCTCCCTCTCCTTCCCCCTCTGTCCCTCCCCTGGGTTGCATGCGCACACTCTCTCTCTCTCTCTAAAATAAAGAAATAAAATCTTCTAACAAAAAAGTTCTCATCACAAGAAGAAAAACTAGGTCGTGATGGATATTAACTAGACTTACTGTGATCATTTCACAATATTTACAAATATTGAATCATTATGTTGTATACCAATAATTAATAGAATGTTATATGTCAATTATATCTCAATTAAAAAAGACAATCAAGATATATGGAAAGATACTTACACAAAGATGTTGTTATTTTCAATGCAAAAACCAGAAAAAACCTAAAAGTCCAGCAATAGGCCAACTAAATTATAGTATATCCATGCTGTGGAGTAAGGTATAGCCACTAAAAACCAGGTTGAACGTTTACTGAGTGATTACCTTCGGGCAGTGGTATAATGGCCACCGATTTAACTCTTTCTTTGTATTTTTTCAAGTTTTCCCATCTGAACAATATCTGTAACTAGAAAAAATGATCAAAGGTACCCTTTCAAAGTGGCTTATTTTGCCATTTCAAACCTGAACATCAAAGAAAATCAAAACGTGAAGTTCGGCCTACTGGCCCGTGGAGTTACAACCAAGCCAAAATGTCCCAGTGGCCATGACTGCAGCCTCCAGCACCACCATTCTCGCCCTGAAAACACTAAGCATGGTGGGCCCCATAAGGGGATTCAGAGCTTCCCACCTCTGTTTGCCAGTTTCTCCAGACCCACTTCTCACCTGGACCCTGGACATTCATTTTTTGTTTGTGTTTTCAAAGTTCCTCTGACTGTAATGTGCAGCCACAGGTGGAAACCCACAGTTCTATTCCACTCTGCCTGTTCTGCAGATGAGACCCAGAGAAGTTCAAGGTAACATGGAGGTGGAGTCAGATCCAGGTCTCCTGATTGCTAAGATGGTTCTTTGTACTGGAGCAAGCCAATAAAGGGGAGCGTGGGTTTTTGTAGATTGACAGAACTGGAGGGCCCCAAATGTTTCAAAATAGGGGTGTAAAGACTTCTCTAAATAACCTATCTTTGGTCCCTGCCTCAACCCAACTGTAGAACTATGTCTGAACAAATAGTTATCAAAAGGTATTTATGGAGCACCGCACAATTTGGAAAGATCACTCCAGTCTAAAGTAATGACAGGGAAAGGCTCTGCAAAGTCTTTTTTTTTTTTTTAAGATTTTATTTTATTTATTTGACAGAGAGAGACACAGGGAGAGAGGGAACACAAGCAGGGGGAGTGGGAGAGGGAGAAACAGGCTTCCCGCTGAGCAGGGAGCCCGATGTGGGGCTCGGTCCCAGGACACCCTGGGACCATGACCTGAGCCGAAGGCAGACGCTTAACCATCTGAGCCACCCAGGTGCCTGCAAAGTCTGTCTTAATGCAACTGTGTTGAGTAAGCAAAGATGATAAAAATCAAAATACCATTCTATCCAAGGCTAGATTTACCCCAGAACAAATAAACACAATTCTAACCAGGCCTTTGCCCTCTTCCTCGGTCCCAGGATCCCTGCCTCTTGATCTTGGCTACTGCCAGGAATGTCCTCCTATGGTTACCCTTGCAAACCAGTTACCATTGCACTGAAAGCAACCTGTTCTCCTTCCACCCAACCTCTGCCAGGCTCCCAGCCAGCCCCAACACCTCACACCTTCACAGTGAGACAGATAAAATGAAACTGGAATTTTTCCCTGGAAGGTCCACAGAAGAAAGCAATTTAGACTTGAGCTCAAAAGGCCCCACTGTGCGGATATCTGGGAAGTCCTCAACAAAGCCTTTAAACCTTCAGGACTCAGACCTATTTGTGAAAGGCATGATTACTGGGGCAATCTCGAGGTCCACTCTGATTTATTCAATGACAGCTTTGTGCAACCCCAGCCCAGCCCTGGTTTGAAAAGGATGTAGTTAATCTGTAACTTAGCAGTGCCTGGTGTTGCATGAGAATTGGTCAAGGAAGTCCTTCATCATTTCTGCATTTGTCCTGTTTTAAGGATTAAAATAAATACGGCAAATGTGGGAGGTGAGAAAAATTAGATGTGTTGCATTCTAAAGCCACCCAAATGAAGAACGCACTTCTCTATTGTTTGGAGGGTCTTAAATCGGTGTCTGAGTGCTGCCTGATTTCTAGGTTACGTGGAAAACATTTGATTCTCCATAGTTACTCTTCAATTAAAAAAAAAATCTTTAATCTCTTATTTTGAATTTTTAGCTCTCTCTTACTTTTTCATGATCTATAGTGAGTGCCGTCGTCTTTGGGATGGGAAGGGGCAAACCCCTACCATTCTGCTTGCTGAAGCAGCAAGAAGACAAGTCTTTCCAAGAAATCTGCTTATCTTGCTTTTAAAGGGCAGATTTTATATTGCAGTCTGCACTCATTTATTCACAAAATTCACTGAGCTCCCAAGTGAAGAAACTAATGAGCACACCAGGCAAGTTTCCTGCATTCTCAGAGCTTTTCACCCAGTGGAGCAGATTGGCAATAATCAGATACTCCCCTCTCCCAAGGCCTATTTACGCAATGTGATAAATGCTGTAATGAAGAATCACCAGAAACAAAGAGAACCTCTAAAAGGGAGAGTAGACTCCAAGGCGAGCAAAAGTGTCTCTTGAAGAACTGACCTTTGAAATTGAAGGATGAGTGGGGTTATTTGGAGAAAGAACAGGCGGCTCAGGCCGGCCATGGGCTGGGCAGAGGCCAGAGCCCACAGGGAAGAATAGCTTGTTGGGTCCCTGGTGCCAGTTACAAGAGACCCACTGGGAAGGACGGGGATGGGGTTTCTGCCCTGGTGTTGGTAGGGGGTGCAGTTTGTAGATCTCTCCAGGAGCAATTAAAACTGTCCCCTTAGAGTCCTATTAATTATCTGGGACAGGTATGCAATCAGTTTCCTTTTGAACTCTCCCTGTATTTGCAAAATATTAATCTTCCCAAGTCACCTGAAACAGACCCACCTTTAAAAACATTCATTAAGCTCTCATGTATCAAATGCTCTCCTGGGCTATTCCCCCCCCCCCCCCTCACACCCCAATACAGTGACTTCTTATCGTGAATTTTTAGCTTCCTCTTAGTATTTCATGGTCTATAGTGAGTAAGGTCGTGTGTTGGACCGGAGGAGAGAAACCCCTACTGTGTGGCTGAATGCACAGGCTTTTTAAGCAGGTGGAAGTCACCTCTCAGCAAGACATCTGCTTATCTTGCTTTTAATGGGCAAGAGGATCCTTTTCCAGAATTGAATTTCATTACCACAGGTAATGTTTAAAACAGCCTGAAAAGCATTAGTGGGAAAATGCACCCTGCTTCAGTTTCCTGAATTGGAGAAACAGAGGAGGAGTGTGGGGGGAGGGCATCAGAAAGCAGCCCGTGCGTCCACCCGTGTGTTAAACAGTGTGTACGTGTGCGTGCACAGAAGATGCTCTGCCGCATTTCAGGTATGTGACTGGTTCTTAGCTCCTCACTCTGTCCCATTTTTAAGACAAGGCAAAAGGGAAAGGGGGGGCGGGTCTCAAACTCACCTAAAAGTTACTAGATGTCATGTGGGACAGAGCAGGAACAATAAAGAAGAAAAGGAACATTATAGAGGATTTCTCTAGAGTGGAGGACACACCCCAACTTCACCCTCTCAAATAAATTTTGTAATTCAATGCCGGCAATATGCCATCCCACACTGAAGCCAGGTTCTTCGTAATTCCTCAGTTAGGAGATCTGGAAATCTACACGTAAATGAATGCCACCTTCCTGTCACCAAAACGGCTCTTCATTCCCCCCTCCCCCAAGAAAAGGAGCTGGAATCGTCAGTACATTGCTTCCTTCCTCCAGTGCCACACTTTGAGCTCTCCCAGGGCAAGGGCAGCTCCTGTGGGTGGCCAGGGCCCATGCGGAGAGCCCTCCCGCAGCCCTGGCACGCTAGCATCTGCAGCCTGTTCGGTCCCTCCCGCACGGAGTCCCTGCACCGCGATGACAACACAGGCCGGCTCCCCAAAGCCGCAGTGGGTTGTATAACCACACTCTGAAAGCCTGGAGGGGAGCGCAGCGAGCTTCTCTCTCGACTGCATCTGTTAGAAGTCTCTGGTGCCAGTTACAAGAGACCCACTGGGCAGGACGGGGATGGGTTTTCTGCCCCGGTGCTGGTAGGGGGTACAGTTTGTAGATCTCTCCAGGAGCAATTAAAACCTGAAGTTCCGTCCTTAGAGCTGGAAATGCAGGACAGTGAAGGGCACAGCGAACCCTGCTACACCCCTCGCGTGCGGATCAGGCGACGGGGGATGGGGCGGAAACTAATGAATCCTGCGGGAGTCCTCAGAATTTCTCCCCAGAGAAGCCTCTCGCGAAAACGCCAAGGACATCTCCCCTCCCCTTTTCAATTACGTAACTCTTACACATTTGGGAGAAAGCTCAGGAACATGATTTCACTTAGGAAGGGAGAAAGTCTTTAGATGGATCTAAAGCTCCGGGTGCATCTGATGTCAGAACGGACGGGGGTGATACCTGGCAGCGGTAGAGGTGGCATCCTGGTGACTGGACTCCCCGCCCCCTCTGCCCTCCATACCCCGCGCCCGGAGACGGGTCGCCGCCGGGGATGGCGTTCGCCCGTCCCCGCGTCGCGGAGTCCGCGGGACCTGCACGTCCGCCGGCTGCGGCGTGGGCTGCCCCCTCCCCCACCCCGGCGAACACCTGTCTGCGGTTACCTGCGGGGCCGCGATTCTCCGCAGCCCGTTGGCCGGCCCCCGGCCGCCCTTGCCGTTGGCTGCAGGGAGCTGCGCGAGCCCCCGCGCCGCGCCGTTCTCGCGCGGGCCTTCATCCAGCGCCGGGAAGAGCCCGCAGCGGCGCTGGAAGCGGGCGACGAGCTGGGAATCCTGCAGGCTCCGCAGCAGCTCGGCCATGGTGCTCCCGGGCCCGCGCGCCAACACTGGCACGCCGATGCCCTCGGCTCGCACTGTCCCCGCCGCTCCGGCACTCGCCCGGCCGGGCACTCGGGGCGGAGGGCGGGCGGGGCCCGGGGCGCCAGCCAACAGGTGCGCCGCTCGGGTCCTAGCGCCGACCCGCGCGCGCGGCCAGCCAGGTGACCGCCTCCACCTTGCGCGGGGCACGTCCGCCCTCCTTGCCCTCCCCGCGGGCTCGGAAGGGCTCGGGCGGTCCCTGGCGTCCGGCCTGCTTGCAACTAGGCGGAGGCGCACAGGTGTTTAAACCGCGCCTCTCTTTGTGCCACCGCGCCCTCCCTCCCCCCCCCCGCCCTGTCCCTTCGGGCTGGCGCGGAAGTGCCACCTAATGGGGAGCGGCCGAGCACGTGTAGACCAACGGGAGTCCTTCTTGCCATGCGCGGGCTGGTCCCGGAGTGACCCCACTTTCACTCTTGAGCCCAAGGTGAGGTCGGATTTCTTTCCAGCTTCCCGCACTCAGGCGTCTACTCCTGTCTTTCTTTGCCTGCTTCCTGGAAGAATGAGCCCTCTAAGGAAGATCCCCAAGTTTTTTCCAAACTGTGATGCAACGTTTCCCCGAAGCCCGACCTCCTCGACCTTGCTCAAGAACCGAGGAGGTTCAAAGTATACATGAATCATCCTGAGTCCTTGAGCTTGTTCTTGTGATTTGGCAATTGGTGAACACTTTTAGACGGGTGTGGAGGAAACGCTACTCTTTCTCAGTTTTCTGCATTGGGAAAGATGATGCTGCCCCTCCCTTCTACTTTTTTGCTCTGCCTCTAATTACAAAGGGGCACTGGAGAGGCGCAACAAGATCGTTCACGATCTTTAGACCCTAAGGGAACCAGGTGAAGGGAGGGGAGGAGGATTTGACATCTCACCGCACCCCCGCCTGCTTTAAAGATCTCAGAAGGCGAGGAACAAAGGAAACGTCCTGCAGGTGCCCTTGGTTTTCCTCCCTCCCTCCTGAATCTCCTAGCAGCGCTGAGATTCCCCCCACGAGGGCCTCTGCACTTCCTGACAAGGAGTGAGAGGCACAGTCAAATCAGGCCGAGCTGATCAGCCTGCAGCAAAAGTGCAATCCTTGTCTTTCTGTCTTCAGTTGATGGCAAGAGGTTGTGTGTTACTGGTAGCCCATGCAAAGCCTACTATTTGGTTGCACAAATGACTATGCACAAACACCTGCCACTTTCCTGTTTATCCAGTTGTCCTTTTGGATCAGGAAGTCTTTAGGATGTAGCTTCCAAGGATGGTTTGGTCTCCCTCACGCTTTCGTTTCTGTGCTCCTTCCCAATGTGATGGAGGGGCAAGATCAAGGTGACAAAGAAAGCAATGACACTTGGGAGATACTTAGTTTACAGAAGCAGCACAGGGCTGCTGTCACAATCCAGCTGTGTGACACACAAGAGCTATCCTGCCCTGGAAGCAGACAGCTCCCCTCCCCAGCGTCGCTGTCATTTACAGCCCCTGGGACAAAACCCTATCGTTTATTTTTAAAAGCTAAAGTTGGACTAAGGCAGGACCTGTTCTTTTTATGTGTGAAAGAAATAGGTTCTCCCGGGCGCCTGGGTGGCTCAGTTGGTTAAGCGACTGCCTTCGGCTCAGGTCATGATCCTGGAGTCCCGGGATGGAGGCCCGCATGGGGCTCCCTGCTCGGCAGGGAGTCTGCTTCTCCCTCTGACCCTCCCCCCCATGTGCTTTCTCTTTCTCTCAAAAATAAATAAATAAAAAAATCTTCAAAAAAAGAAATAGGTTCTCCCATGAAGACACTTGAGTGGTGTATCTCTGAGATATAATGCTTTAATTTTCCTTTCTCTCAATTAGAAAAAAGCAAAAAGCAAGCATGGCACATGTAACATAAGATGAAAGAATTGCACATTCAGATAATGTATTTTATCTCCTTGGAGGACCAAGTAATGGCTCCAGCCTCCAGGGACTTGTGATATCACAGTGTGCTTCGGTTTTTTTCCTGTGATAAAATAATAATCTGTGCTTCTTGTCTTGTTAAGGCTATTGTGAAAAATCTTTAGATAAGCTCTATAAGGCAACCTGGTGAGATAGCCGTAGCATTCTGTATTGGGCCAGAGCCATTCAATTTAGGAAGGAGTCTTCAGGAGGATGTGGCTCTGAACAATTTGAGCGAGACTGAAAAGCCAGTGACTTCTGGCAGTGATCTGCATGCTTCCCCTGATCCTCTCTTTTAGGGCACAGGCTGATGTTCTGAACATAAACTTCCCAACCAATCTAACAAAAATCAATGTCCTCAAGAAGTGGTAGGCTGAAGGACTGCTCTAGCATAACATTTAGTGGAGAAGTTACAAGGTAGCCTGAAGTCATGCATTTAATAAATAAAGTTGATGCAGGAAAAATAACCTGTCGTTGTTTGGACAGTTTAACACTAGTCATGCCTGGGAGAAATAGATTTTGCTGGCTCCCCTCCTCCACCCCCAGGGCAGAAATCCAGGTATTTGTACTTTGCTTAATTGTGTATATATAATAATTACTAAGTGACATATTTTAAAGGACCGGCAATGGAAGTATTCATTAGAGTAAAGGTTAAGCTACTGTAGCAAAGAGACTCCAAAATCTAGTGGCTTAAAGAGCACAGCTTTTTATTTCCCTTTCATATAAGAGTTCCAAGGTGAGAAGTCTGGGTTAGTAGGAGGCCCTGCTCCATGACAGTACACAGCAACTCAGATTCTTTTCATCGCGACCCCTGCCCCACCCCCCTGGGACCAAGCCCAAGGTCACTGTCGTCTTCTGCATGATTGAAGCTGGGTGATGCGCACATCTGAAATCCCTGAGTGTCCTGAGCAGCAGCTTAGGTTCCATCAGTAATAACACAGTCACATGGCCCAAGACAGGCTTGCAAATGTTATCTCTAGCAGGACAGCCTATGTCCAGCTTTAACTGTATTTCTGTGAAAGCAGGGAGGACAGATTTTTGGTGGACAATCAGGTATGGAAAACAAACCAATGTTGGTTTGAATGTTGTAAAATATAAATCTATGTTATAATTCCACCCATCATCTGCCCAATTTTATCTAGGCAGTCTGTCTTTAATTTGACACATTCTAAATACTCATGTGCAGATACAATTTTTTTTTGTAAAGAAAGCACTAAAAATAAGTAAATTCAAAGGGAAACCTGTCATCTCTTTGTTGAATCAAAATGAGGAAATCTAAAAGAAATTGATGTCAAGATGCCTTTTAAATGAAAAACTTTGGTATTAACTGCATTATTTTAAATTTTGATTTAGAGTTCTCTCTCTATAGAGCAGGTCACTTCCACATTTCAACCAAACCATTCAATTTTCAACTTGGCAATATTTCCTAGATCAAGACATATCCAGGGTTGGGATTCTGTATTGGTTATCTATTGCTGCATAACAAATTTTCCCACAAATAGTGGCTTAAAATGGCAGCATTTATTATCTTGAAGTTTCTGTGGGGCAGGAGTCCAGGAGCATCTTAACTGGGTCCTCTGGCTCTGGGTTCCTCACAATGTTTCAGTCATCTCAAGGCTCAGCTAAAGGGGTAGATCAGCTTCCAAAATCACGTAAGTGGTGGTTGGTAGATTTCAAGTCTTTGTGGGCCATTGGCCAGAGGCCACCCTCTCTTCCTTGCCATACAGGTCTCTCCATAGGACAGTTCACAACCCAGCAGCTTCCTTCATCAAACAGAGAGAATCGGAGACAGAATCAGAGCACGACAAAGTAGCCATCTTTTATGATCTGATATTGGAGGTCACACCCCAATACTTTTGTCATGGTCTACTTATTAGAAGCCAGTCTGTAGGTCCAGCCCACAGTCAATGGGAGAGGGTATAAGACAAGAGCGTGAACAGTAGGATGTTTGGATTAGCAGGGGCTATTTTGGACACCGCCTACCATAGGTTCTCACACCTACATTAACTTTCTAACTTCATCTCCACAGTATCAATATTTATCATCCCAAAAAGATATGATACAGAGCCTTGGCCTCAAAGAGCTTCTATCTGTTGCAGAAATAAGATGCACATACACACACAAGAAATGTGCAATTACATGAGAACATGTGTAATGGAAGACCTAGGGCACCAGAAGACTAATTTCTAGTAAAAAACTACATGTACCACAGCTGTAATTCTCAAATCTGGGATCAGAATTACCTTACAAATCTGCCAGTTACAGACACCTTAAAGACAACTGAAAGACAACTGAAAGCAGAAATTATTAAGTTGGAAAAGAGAAAAAAAATGAAACTGATAAATAAATCCAAAAAGAGTCTTTGGAAAAAATTAACAAAATCGAAAAACCACTAGTATGACAAAGAAAGAATAAAAGGAAAAAAGATGAAAGCTTGAAATTAGAAATGCTAAGGAAAAATAATCACCAAAAGCAGAGGAAATTTTAAAAGTCTTTAGAGGGTACTTCCCATGTCCCTGTGCAAACAGATCTGAAAATGCAGATGAAATAGATAATTTTTTAGAAAGAAACAACTTACCTAAAATTGGCCCCAGTAAAGAATGTCTAACACGGCAATTATCACAGACCGAGATAAAGGGGCTCAAATTCTCCCCCATAAAAAGCACTTAGCCTAGATAGTTTCACAGGGAAATTCTACCCAACCTTTAAAGAATGGATAATCTCAAAGCTACTTATTCTAGAAGAAAGAATTTTTCAAAATTCCTGTTATTAAAGCCATTATGATATTGATCTCAAAACTGAAAGAGCACCAAAAGGAAAACAGATGACTGTCACTTGTGAGTAGGGTTCAAAAATCAAATATCAAATATCAAATATCAACAGCTGAAATCCAAAGTCCATTTAAAAAAGAATGTATTGTGGCTAAGTGAAACTGGTTCCAGTCATAACATGAACAAGCATCGTTAAATAACAAAAAAAATCCACCAATATGATCCATCGTATTAATAGTGCTAAGGAGAAAAGTCATATGATTTGTTATATACGTTGAATTGTGTCCC